TTAGTCCTTAATATATTTCTTTCTTTATATGTTATAAAAAAGAGTTGTATTTTTTTATATACATACATGCATATATAATATATATTTTTAATTGAAAGTTTGAAATAATTTTCTGAGTGATTTTTTATTTTGTGTAACTTTTAACAAAATTGGAAATTATTGCAAATATATTATGTTGAATGTTATTTTTCAAAGTAATGAGATATTTTAAACTATGGCATTAGAATTTCCCAAAAACAAAAACAAAAAATAAAAAAAAATATTATAAATAAAACCAAAAAAAATTTAAAAAAAAAACCCATAAAGTAAACCAAACCGGTTCAAAGGAAAATAAGAAATAAATAATTTCCTTCCAAGTCAATAAATTTAGCTAGCTACTTTTGGAATTAAAATTTATAATTATCCGTTTTGGTAAATACTTTTGTAAAATTAGCAATTTTGGTAAAAAATCTCAAATAAAGCAAGAAAATTAAAGTTTTAGCTTGATCCCAATTAAAGCTAATATCTAGATAGAATTATATATTATAATTTAAATTGACAAATTTGTAGCAAACTATTTGTTTTCACTTAGATAAGTAGTATAAATCTTCGCTGAAATTTGAAAGTTGAGTTCATTTTTTTTTCTAAATTAGTTTAAAAGTTTAGTTTAAACAAAATTGTTGTGGATATAAAATAGTAAACATATGTGTTAATTAATTTTGGATTATCTTAATACTGATTTGATCGACTGATTATACTATATTATATTTTTCATTCTATTCATTATAGCATTAATCTCTATATTAGTATTTCTTTTAACAGACAAAGGGAGTATATCAATATGGAAAACAATAACTACAATTGCAAAATTATAAAACCTAATTTAGATCTAAGTTTAAAGGATTAGGACAACAAAAACATTCTCCCTTGAAGGAAACATTATATCCTGAGATCATGTAGTAGTTAAAAATTATCTGTCGTCACCTACAAAAATATACTTACATTATATCAAATCAAATTTGGTACAAGCGAAACGTGTGATAGTACGATCAATTTAAATTTGACACAAAATTGGAGGTCAAAAAAAGCAACTCCAACCCTTGAAATAATGTTGTTGGCTACTCTAACACGTCTAGCCGTATTTCTTTGCATTTCTAAAATAGTGTAAGGTACATTGTTATTGGTCTCCCTTTATATTGATGTCATTTTCTTTTAGATGGATAAGCTTACTCGTAGCTCCACAACTTTACAAAACACAACCATCAAGGATATGATCAATAGTTGTCACGTATACAAGCGCAATCATTTACTAAATTACTAATATACATATTCTTAATTATAAGAAGCAAATAAGGTTTATCTATAATATCCTTGTTTCTCCTTTTTACACAAACTAGTTTAAGTCCCGTACAACGCACTATTTTTACTTAATCTAATTATGAATTACAATGTCAATTTAACAATAAATTTAAAAAAAAAAATCAATATTTTTTAATTAAAACAAATACTTGAACTTCTTTTAAAAATTATAACTTGAATTTCATATTATACTAGATTAATGCCCGTGCGATGCACATTATTAATAATTTTTTTTTTACACAAGTAAAATAATCTTTTTCCCATAATTAATTGTGATATAATATAATATAAAAATGAGGCAGCTCATATGGAATAACACAAATGCAATGCATATAGAAAAATAATAACAAGGAAAAAATTATTATAATTACAATTGAGAAAAATAAAATTATTGTTGATTAGTTGTGTTGCAAATATTTAGAAGTAGTATATATTATATTATATTACATTAATGATGCATATTATTCCCAATAAAACTATATAATCTAGTGACTATTTGACTAAAGACTTATTTATAACTGCCCTTTAATAAATATGAAAATATTAATCAAACAACAAAATAAAATCTACAGTAAACTATTAGCACAACATAAATGTAAATATATAAATTGCAAATAATATATCACCTTTATATCCAATAACATAATTTCAATAGAAATAAATACTACTCAGACCATTAAAGGCAATAATAATCCACAATTAGGCAACACTAACCTATAATATTAATAGTACATTTTTTGTTTATAAATTTATGCTTTACATGATATCGTCGCTCTTTGTCATTATATAAAATTGTGTTTGAAGCTATCCAATAATTATTGTTTGTTTATTGCCTTAAAAGTTTATTTGTAGATAATAGCTATTTATTGGAAAAAGAAAGGATACACAAGAAAATGTCACTTGTCACTACGTCCGACGTATCTCTTACTATGCAACTTATTTATAATGTCGAATGTAATAAATTTATTATATCAATCAAATATTTCAGCAAAAGTGAATAATTTTTTTTGTATTTACTAAGATATTAATTTATTTAATTACGTAATAACAAAAAATTGATTGATATTTTACATTTTCCTAGAATTAGACATATGATATAGCTTTCAAACACACCATTTATTTCATAGTCATATCTAACACTCCATCAGTCTAAGAAACAAAATATTAGAGGTATTTGAAAAAGAAACAAAGTGATATTTTAAAGTAATTTCTTTAATATCAATCATATGAATCAATTTTATTATTACTTTTTGGGCAAAATTCAATAATACTCCGTTAAAAGATGCCTAGGCGGTAATGATTGTATCTTATATCTGAACTAGTGGCTCAATTTTCTATAATTTAAAAAGAGTTGGAATAATATTTTAGGTAAATGTGTAAGGAAGAATTAAGAACACGAAATAAAAAGATATACATTTTAGTTATGTAAAGAATACTTCGTATAAGATTTGGAATAATATTATTATAGTTTTATTATACAAATTATAAAAGTTTTTTGACAATAGAGAAGGGGGAGTTTTGGAGGGAAAAAACAGCACCGGGAAGTGACACGTGTCATTCCTGGTGTCTGTTTTAATATTATGTTATTATTGATTGATATAAAAAATTATTGATCATTAAACATTTAAAAAAACGCGATTATAATGATTATAGGGTTTTACATAAGACTGAAATTTTATGTTAGTTATAACCCGTGCAATGTACTTATATATATGTCCCTATCTTGTTGGCATGTTTTGACAAACACAATATTTTATAGCATACTTAATTTGATCGGCAAAATATTTTATACAAATTTAATTGACTAATTTTTTGTGACAACTAATAATCAAGGATTTTTTTTATTTTTATTTTTTATTTATAGTTATTGAATTGTAGTGTTATTATTATAAATAAATCAACAAATATGTAACAAAGACTAAAGTGTCGATCCTAGTTGTAGAAAAAACACGATGTAGAATGATACGGAATACGGGAGTAGTACATTATTTCAATATATTACCTTATACGTAATATATGTTTGTTTATTAGATACCTATTATAAAATATATGAAAGATATGTTAAAATATTTTCATTGAATGCATATAGAATATACTTCGTATTTAGTTGCCAAATTGAAAGTTAAATAATATGGGATATATGAATTAATACTCATGAAGATTTGTAATTAAAATAAAAAGGAAAGTAAAAGTGGTGGGAAAATTTTTAATCAGAACATGACAGGTGTCATGTTAAATTCGCTTTTAATATTATGTTATTGATTGATTGATTGATTATTAATTAAGGCGGACATTCATCAACTTATTTTAGCATGGATTAAAGTTACCCTAAAAGTATTTAAAGTTACCTTACATACTACAAAATTAAAGTTCCCAGTTTCCTAACATAAATTTTACCCTTATAATGTATTAGATTAATTATATTAGCCTTCATATCATGTATCCATTAATAACTACAGATATCCATTAGAAACTACAGATTAAAATACAATCAATAAATTAAAAGTTACTTTTAAAGGAATTAAAGTTACTATAACATTGTTAAAGTTAGTCTCAAATTGACCGTCTTATATAATAAAATTAAAGTAAACCCGCCTTACACAATACTTATTGTTCTCTTAATAATTTTAATGGAAATGGTTTTAATATTTTATGTTTTTTAACTCGAGAAATACCCTTTTATCGAAAAGTGAGTGTATAGAAAAATAAATAAAATAAAAATGAGTTAATTTTTCACCTAAAATAAGGTCTTCTCATTTTTGCTTTTTAACAAGCAATGATTAATTAAGGCTCTAATAATCATTTTTGCTTGTTAAAAAAATATTTAACAAACAATGATTAATTAAGGTTTGAAATTTAAAATAAAAAATTCATTAGAAACGAAAAACCCCTGGTCAGGAAAACCTATCATTTCTTGGCAGAAATTGGCCTTTGGATAGTCTCATCTAATATATAGTAGGTAGTGATCGATTTAGAACATCGTTTCCACTCAAAATTCACTGTTCATACGTCTGAATCTGAGTTGTTCTTCAATAATTTGGAAAACACCCAAAAATTTCGAATTACTAGGGTAGAAACGCCGAAATTTTCAAACCCACGTGGTTATACGAAATTTCCAAAATGCCCCAAAATTCGTTTGACCGTGTGGGTTTCAAATTTTTTGGGCGTTTTCATCCTAGGTTTTCGAAATAATAAGGCATTTCCGACTTTGACCGAAAATAAATAAAAAAATCAAAACATTTTCTCCGGCGATGGCCTTGCCCCTTGGTCGGTGGTTGTTTGTTATGAGAATGTTCTCAGGTTAGAGGGGTGAAACCATACAGTTTATAAAAGGGTAGATTTGTCCATTGATTTTAAAATGCAGACGTTACCAAATAAAATAAGGAGGTCGTTTAGCGCTTCACACAAAAAACCAGGTCAGCCACCAACACACAGCCGATGCCTGATGGGCGATGGCAAACCCCCTTCACAACCCCACCCCTAAAATGGGCCTTTACCCCAGCCCCACTACCAAAACCGCCCCTATCCCTAACGACCACCCTAGGAATCGGCGATTTGCCCCCTCCCTTTACGACTTTACCCCTAACCAAATTAGATTTGTTATAAACCTCCACAAATCATTCAGTCCATGTTAAACTTAAATACCAAAATACCCCCAATTTATTGACTACAATTACCCTTTTCAAATACAATTAGTCTAGGTTTGACCTTGGAGTTTTCTCGCTACTTCGTACATTCGTACACTCTACTCTCTCTCTCAGTTTTCCATTGAAGCGCACTCCCCCGTTCTCCATTGAAGCGACTTCTAATATTTCTATCTTCCATTGAAGCAGCTTCTGAGGTAACGATTTGCTCCCTTTTCTAATCATCCAATTTCAATTTCACTATCTAGGGATTATTGTTAATTTATAATTCTCACTATACTCAATTTAGGGTTCTTTAAAACTCGATTATAGAACTACTGCTTAATAATTGAATCAAATTGGGTTGCTAATGTGTTGCAGAATCCTTTAATTCTTTTTTTTGTTTTTGTTTTCAATACTGCATTTGTTATGATGGCGCAAAATGTCATTTTATGGAAGTATGATCTTAGTTTTGGTTGTTGAAATTTAAAATTGGGTAAACTCTTGTTGATGTTTGAATAGGTACTATGATGGGTTTTGCCTTGGTTTTGGATTGGTTCTTAGTAATATTGTTTCGAGTACTTTATATTTATTTTTGTAGTTAATGCAAACATTGCAGTTTACAACTAAAATGTATGATGTGTATGACAATACCACTTTATTATTGGAATTTGTATGAAAATAATAAGAAATTTAAATGTGTGTGACTAGCCTTAAAAAGCAAGTTGGAAGTCTAATCATAATACTCCTATATCGGCTATGTACTGCCTATGTAGGTTCGATTTCGCGCAACACTGGTACTCCAAATCCCAGTTGTAATTCTGCATTGCTAATCTCTTCTAAAATGTTTAGTTTGTTATGTTTCTGGGCATTTCTGTTTATTAATATACCATGCTAGTTTGATTTGAAATGTTGAATATAAGCAATGAATACACTTGTTGATTTCTTACTATTTTTTTGATTAATGATTTCTGTGTATGTATGATTGTGGATTTGTGGAGGGATTGATAATGTTTTAGTTAAAAAATTACAAGTGTACTCGCTTTATTCTTATGCTGATACTCATGGATCATGTATACAACTTCCACTATGAAATCGGAAAAGTCATTAGTGCTACTGCGGTACTAGTATATTCTAGGTTGGTCCACTTAATGAATTAAGAAAAGTTACTACACTTATAACAGACCCTTGTAAACTGATGCCATATTTGGGATTGCAGCTGCAAACACCTTGAAAAAATAAAATGAAACAGTTGTAAAGAAAATCATGTTGTTTGATATGGAGAATAGCCTGAAAAATTCTGTTGAATTTGCTCTCAAAATTCTGGCTCACACGTTTAAGTTTTTACTTCAATTGATTTTTAAATAGACCAATAATAATTACTTGTAAGCTGACATACATTATCACTCCCCCCTCCGCCAACATATGCTCCAAAGACATTGAATTCTACATCTTAAATTGTATTTTGGTACTAGTTTTCTATTACTCAAATCCCAATTTACAACCAACTCAATGGCCAAACCTAGTGTGCTAATAGGTCTGGAGAGAACCTTATCTAAAAAGGTTAGAACTTAGAACTATATTAGTATATTTATAGGTCCATCCGTCCGTGGTTAACATAAAATGTGTATTTTTTATGAGCCAAAAGAGTCTAGGCTTTGAATGGCTATTCTTGTGAGTTATGGTGTAGAATTGCAGGCATAAATCTTTGAGAGCTTTCAGGTTTCTAGTATACTTGTGGGACAGGGGTTTTGCTATCAAAGATTATTAGACGGTCAGACCTACCTTTATAATAGCGTCTGTAGCCCCTTACATACTTCTTGGTTATAAGAAAGATTTTACTGTTGAGTTTGAGGAGTTTGCCTTCATTCTCCCATTTCATTTTTTCTCCTGAGAAGAAATTTTGTTAAGATGTTGAAATTCAGATTCTGTGTTCTCTGAAAGGCATTTTCTTCCTACATTACTTCTCATAATTTGCTGAAAGTCATAGGGGCAGTCGCTTACTTTATGATCTGAATCATACGTTAGTCAGTATGATCACACTTGGCGGTTTATTAGATTTACTGTGTGTCCTAAATTCCTAAAATGATTGTCATTTTAGGGTTGATGCAAATCTCTTATATTGTTTTTAGGCAAAAAATTAAGTACAGTATAAGATGGCTAATTTGGATAACAAAGTAGCATTGTTGTTATGGATCTAGGTGCAATCAATACCAGAAGAAAAAGTACTCTTCTCACCGCGTTTTTTAGAGCTAATTAGATATTTGAATCAAATTTGCCGGATGGAATTATGAAATTAAACCCTTTCTCTATAAAATTATGTGTTTTTTTCGAGCCTAGTTTTCTTATTGAACCAATCTAGTTGCTAATGTGTTGCATAACCCTTAAATGTTAAGATCAAACTATGAAATTGGGACTTTTCTCCCAGGCAGGCGACTGCCCCTCTTGCCCTGGTTCAGGTTGGGCCTGGGTATAATCACTTGTATTGTGTTGGTTTGGATAATTTGTTCGCAGTAAGTTAGTTTTCGAAGAAGTAAATTAAATGAAATTTTTTTATTATATGATCTAAGCTCCTAGCATATTGTAATATAGTAGTAGGTATATTTGATTGTACTAGGATTTATTGATTGGTTTGGTTTCATGCTAATTTGTCAGAAACGAAAGGATGCCTCTGGGATTGATACTCGGACTTGCAAGGTCAATGCGCAGGAAGCGTACATCATCACTTGATATCCTTTCTTCAAAGAGCTAGGGCGCCAAGGAATTTCTTCAAAGAGGGCGCCAAGGAATTACTACAAGGGAAAGAATTGCAAAGCCCACTGGATTTCACACCCACAAAGGTCTGATCCTTCTTTAGTCTTATGTATTTTTTTCCTTGATCATTTGTATGTAACTTGATTTATTCTCTGCTATACATAAATCATATTCTGGCTTATCTTATCTAAGTAACTTGAATTTTGTTACAGGTGGCTATGTTGTGGTGCAAGAAAAGCTGCCTAACTACGTAGTACCTGATCTTACCGATTTCAAGGTACTGTACGTTTGTATCTCATCTGCACTAGCAATTTTCTTATCTTTTTATTGAAGAATTTTCTAATCTTTTCCAACAACAAACCCAGTTTTTGGGGAATGGGGCAGTGGCGGATCTAGTATGGGTTCAGTTGAACCCATACTGAATCCAGAACTTATCTGATCAGTTTTTAGTTTTACAGCAACTAGTTAAAAACAGTACGTGTTTCATTTTTAACAACTCTTTCAGCAGTCTAGCCTTAGGAAGTCTTACTTTTATACCAATGGTCACAAGTTCGAGTATGACCAACATCCATTTACTTTGTTGCCCCTCCCCCCCCCCCCCCCTTTTTTTTTGGCTTTAACTTCCCTGATGCTTCAATATCTAACATCCATTACCATGAATTTGTTACCCATTACATCAACAAAACCTAACCATGAATCCATCTCTAAAAAACCATGAAAATTTAGTCACATTTATTTAGATTTTTTTTCCCAGTGTAGGAAGATAATGTAATAGATCGTTTGCAAAGATTGAAGAATCATCGAGTTTTTTTAACATGCACACACCTGTATTATTAATTGTAATTGTATTTTGGATTTTGCTATTTGATTGTCCTATATGTGTTTAGTGACTCCAAACCCATAGCAATTTTTTTTGGATTCGCCTCTAGAATGCAGCAAGGGTATTAGATTATACGGGACTTCATGTCCATCTTTCATGTTAATGATGAGTAGCTTTACCCCGTGATGCTAAGTGATATATGTGTCAAATTGACTCAAATGATGTAGAAAATAAGAATTTTCAAAATAGTTTCTGGACTAGGGGTTAGAGATTAATTTGGTGAGTTTGTAGATTGAAGGCTAAGATGGGAGCTAATTACTCCCTCCGTCCCTATATTTTTGCCCCATTGCTAAAATATGGGTCAAATTTTATAAACTTTGACCATAAATTCCCGTTGATCTACAAAAGGAAATATAATCATGTGAGATTTTGTTTTTTTCGTCTCATTGTAAATTTAATTAATATTAACTTTTTATAATTGTTACGCGTATGGAAATAGAGAAATAAACGTTTTAACTCGTGTCTCGGAGACTGCACAAAGTCAAATGGGGCAAAAATAAAGGGACAGAGGGAGTAGAAGGTAAGCTCAAGCTTCCTTATGGTATTAAGTGAAAAATTCAATAAGTTGAATGGTGATTAATCTGATGATGCAGTAGGATTGATGATGATGCCATGAAATATGCCCTTGTTCTGCATTGATGTTTCTTAAGTGTCTGTAGTGCACTATTTGACCTCTATCACGTGTTCTTGGCCTGTGTTCATATTAATAAAAAGGCTCTATGGTATAGAAAATTTTATTTTGCAGACATAATTTTACTCATTCTAGGATAGTGAATTTTGTGCTTATATCTGGTTGTTGGAAGTTATTTGCCTTTTTTATTCAATCTTTGACTACTGTGAATAATTGTGTTGTCACGTGAATCAGAATACAAGTTTTCAGCAACATTTCTTTTCAGATTTCATGTTTCCAGCCTCTCGACTGAGCTCATAACCAATTTTTTTTTTTTTTTTTTCAGCTGAAGCCGTATGTTTCTCAGTGGCCACTGAATGCCAAGACAACTGCTAATACTGATGTATCAACATAGATTGACAACACTAGAATTATCCAAGCCTTCGAGTTGTTTAGCTGTTTCGCAATCAATAATTTCTGGGTATAATTTTTCAAGCAAGACCTCAATGAAGCTGGATTGAGAATTGACTGTCTTGTTTGTTTAGCCATCATACTTTGTTTAGAAAAACGCAAATTGTATGAAAACTGATGGTCTAAACAGTTCCTGGTTTGGTATTAGAGTAGAAAACATTTCAAAATTTATTTTCCTAATTTCTTAGGATGTTTGCAAATCTTCCATTTTGTTCCAACTTTTAAGTAGTGATTTTAAGGAATTCCATCCGTCTAGAATTAATAATTGAATATACTAGTTCTGTTTCACATTTTTTGCAACTTTGAAAGGTGTACGTACTTCTAGGCAAAATTTGTTTGTGAGTGTAAGATAGAGAAAAATAGGAATGCATGTGATCAGGAGAGAGATGGAGAGAAATGACAACCTAAAAAGAAACGAAAACATTAGTTACAAATAATGTGTAGCATCTATTTTTGGCAAAAGTTGCAAAAAATATGAAACGGAGGTAGTACCATTTTGAGGCTCTAGCATTGAATATTTTTCCTTGCTTGATTTCATATTATTTGCAAATTGCAACTTTTGCCAAAAATAGGTGCTATTTACGGAGTATTATTTGCAACAAATGTTTTTTTTCCTTTTTATGTTGTCATTTCTCTCTCTCGACTTATCACATTCATCCATATTTTCTCAATCTATTTTACATTCGCATACAAATTTTGCCTAAAAATCCGCGTATCTTTCAAAATTGCAAATAAATGCAGCGGAGGTAGTATTTGCTTATTTGAGTGTCATACACTCATACTGGAGTATTTGTTAAAGTAAAAAAAACTAGTCCCCAATCAGCCAAGCTACCTTTTTGAAAGGTCTCTGTACACAAATAATTTGTTTTTAAAAAGGTTGCTCGGGGACTAGTTTCCAACTCATTGTTACCAGTAAATTGAGAATGAAGCGAATAGGTATGCGGACGACAAGTAGAGGAGACGACGGTGGTGGTGTTTGTGATCTAGGAAGGCAGAAGAATGAAGGAGTATGGAATTGAAAGAAGGGAAGGAAGGGGGGAGAAACCAGCAGAATTGGCAAACCCCCGAGTGTGTTCTACGCTTGTAATGTTGAGCACATACTATGTAAGATGGTACTTCCTTTGTGGTCCTGTCCTGTTTATATAGTGTTATTTCAACTTAAAAAAAAAAAAAAAAACGGAATTACAATTTATTTATTTGTTAAAACAAGTTTTTAAGCTAAGAATTAGCGGTATATAGTAAAGATTGATCGGCTTTAAACATTTATTTTTAATCGGTAGTTTTTTTTTATATCAAATTAATATTTTATTAATGAAAAGACATATGTCAAGTGAAAAAGAAATTTGGATCTTACAACTACACATCAAATTAAGTCTTGGAGAATAATGAATTTGTTTTAACTATGTAAGATTTTTGTTTTATTCATTATTTAGTGTAAAATTGATATTTGTTTTGATCCGCATAAATCTTTACCAACGAATTAATATAATTGATAGAAAAAATCAATATTGAATTAAGAAATGAGTAAGAGAAAAGTCTAATTTCAAAATATAGTTGAAATTATTTTCATCGTAAAGAGACCAATGAATTGAAGCCAAAGAGAGAAACGAGGAAGAGGGTGTGGAAGGGAAGGGAGAGAAACCGAAAAAGAAGGGACCGAAGAACTCGTGAATGTTGTGTAGTGTGCACTACACTTGTAAACTTTAGCGTATACTCGGTAATCTGGTAGTCCCTGCAATGTGGCATCATCCTATATTTAATTGTATGTGTTAATTGCAATTGAAAAAGTAATAATTCACCAAGTAAAACAAGCTTATTTGGCAAAAATCAGTTATTTTTAGTAAAGATAATTTTAAACAATGAGTGATAAATTGTAGGCATCTTAGGAAGTGCACCTACCCTATCACGTGTGAATGTGCTTGTCAGTCGTAGGAAGATGTGGAATAATTGATATTGAATGAATCATAAAGGACAAAGCACAGGTTGGGGAGCTGCCAATATGTTTTTAAAGAACTTGTAAATTGTTATAGATTTTAACGAAAAGGACAAAGGCAACCACGATTTTTAATCCATGAAGGTTACACCCATTCAAAATCTATGAGATTGCATGCTAACTTCATAATAGTCCTTAATTACGACTGGATATTCGGGGATGAAAGTACAAAATTGAGTCAGGATGTTAATTCTATCCGTATCGACCTCTACTCGATCATTTCTTATAGCGACATGTATTATTTGCAATTGAAAAGACTTATTGCTCAATTGCTCCAAACTAAATTATACTAAGTCGGTTGAATATTAAATGCGCGTGTAATTGCTAATATTGTGATCACTTGATTAACAACATAATTAATTAATGGGATCCTATCTAAGGCACTGTTCACTTCACCTTACCAAAAATCATTTTCATTAAAAGTAATTTCAGTCTAGTATAACTAATTTCAGTTCAGCAAAATAGTTCAATTTCAGTAACAATAAGTTCAGTTTTGTAAAAATAATTTTAATTTAGTAAAAATCATTATCTTTAAAGAAGACATATAACAAAAAATCTATAAAAATAATTTCATTTTAGCAAAAATAATTTCATTTTAGCAAAAATAATTTTACTTCAGTAAAATTAATTTCTGATCAATAAAAATAATTTAAGTTCAGCTAAAATAATTTCAATTCAGTAAAAATAATTTCATTTCAGCAAAATTAAGGTGAAAAGAACAATGCCTAACATGTTGTCCATAATTATCTTATTAGGCTTGATATTCATGCAATATTGTGATAAAACAAATAAAACAATAAAAATCATATATAGCACGTAGAACATATGACAAATCAATATAAGAAGCAACCTAATATAACTTTAATACTTCCTCCGTTCTTTTAATATCACATCACTTGCCTTTTAGGGAAGTTTCACAAATATTGCATCACTTTCATTTTAGGACAAAAAATATCTATGTTCACACTGTAAATACCCAACATACCTTTACTTTTTCACACTTACTTTTAATTTTATCTTTACATTACATGAACAATTTTGTATTTTTCATTTCTCTCTCTTACTTTTTCCCACTACCAAATTCTACCTCCAAAACCCCTATGATGCAATAAAAAAAGAACGGGGGAAGTAGTTAAATTAGCCTTAACATGATATTAGCAAATTCAAAATAAATAAGTAAAGCAATTAAAACTAAGAGGATAATTACTTATGCCGAATGAGCTCTTTAAATAGCTACATCGTGAATAAATTTTTAGTAACTTCAAAATAAATAAAAATTAAAAGGATTAAATCAAATAAAATAAATTGAAAATGTTAGATCACCCTCAGGGTTATACATTCACGTCTGGTTAAAAGGTAAAACCTACGAATCTTATTTTGGATTTGAATTGTTTGAATAGAATTAGTAATATAGCTAAAAAAAAAAATGGTAATTATGAGGCCTTATCTTAAAACTCACCTAGATCTAGGTGAGTAATCTTCAAGCTTTTGTGATTATGGGGCCTTATCATAATTCATTTGTTTCTTTTTGTTTAATTTGTTCCACTAGAATAATTAAATTTTTAAAATTTTTGGGCGGAAAGAATTGGTTTAATAATTATTAAAAACTGGGTAGTCTGATAAGATCGGTTGGAATGAACGTCTTCGGAGTCATTGTCGAAGGAGCTACAAACTCCATAGCTGGTTTGAAATAGACCCCAATGGAGTTGATGCGCTCAGAGTTACAAGTGCCATGAAATCCGCCGAATTGATTGAACCCTCCTAGATCATACCAGAACCATTGCTTCTCATCGGATTCTGATGCTTTTCCGAATAAGTAGGTTTTCTTGTTTGTTGAAAGTGTTAGTTCTTCTATGCCCGACTCACTGTACCAACCTTGTACTATAGTTATGTACTCATTCGGATAGTCCAACTTAACCTGTAGTTCACATAACAAAATCCAATGATTACATTGAACATAAATTCTTAAATTACAATAATTCTGTTTAACGTTTATTTTAAACTAAAAAAAAAAACTATATTATAAGGTAATTAGAGACATTAATGGTAAAGAGTTTTAAGAACTAGGGTTTTGACACAAATTTTCAACAATCCTCAAGAAGTCAAGAAAACAAGTAATCGAGTCCTAAGGGCTTGTTTGGTATTGTTTTTTATTTTCAATTTTTTTGATTTTTTGACGAAAACAAAAACCAAAAACAAGAAAAAGGTTTTTTTAACTATTTTATTGTTAATTTTTAATATTATTATAATTTTAGTACGTTTGACCAATTTTTATTTTTTTAATTTTTTTATTATTTTTTTTTATGTATATGACCTACTTGTATATCATATGATTTTGAAAAACAAAAAAAAAAAACCATAACAATGCCAAACAGACTGCTTCAAAAAAAAAAAAAAAAAAAAAAAAAACAATGTCAAACAGACTCTATCTGTTATAATATTTATAAATAAATTTGTTATAATATTTAGGTTATTTATATTCATATGTAGGGTTTAGGTTTATTAATCCAAATTTATTTTTCCTCTAGCTAAATAAACGTCATGATCCATGAATATGATAAAAGAAAGAATTAAACTATAGAAAGAGATCGAACTGCGCAAAATCCTGATCCAACGAACTCGGGGTTGCCGAACACCTCAGACAACTTCAACCTCCCATTGTCATCTTCATCAATGTACTGAAACTGAAGTGAGTTAATCTTTTGAGGTTCGTACGATACGATGAATTGAACGATGGCGTGACAACCTTTAAGGTCCCATACTTTCCCTTCCTTGTTGCCGGATGGTCCAACTTTGTTCATTACTTTTGACGTCGAAGAGCTGAGGTTTTTCTATTACGAGAGATAATTTTCAGCCCCTACCCTAGTGTTGTATTTATAGACAAATTAGTGGGCTTTTTAGATTGGGTTGGTTGAGGAATTAACTCTTTGTTTAATGAATTTTCGGCCCAACTTGCAATTTTGAATAATCTTTATCTATATTATTTTTTAACAGTTTTTATTTTCAACTTTTATCCATAGCACTTCAAAAATAAACAACGGAATATGTTTAGGTGTCTTTTTATTTTTGTCGGATTAGATTTTTTTTAAAGGGAAAGAATAGATAGTTTTGTAAGGTTACTTTTATCAAGAAACTTTTCCCAACCAAGGGGTGTTCTCTTTAAAGATTAACATAGATAGTGGAATTATGCATGCCTTGTAAGTATGTATGTTTGCCTTATTTTTCCAACATTACTGAATTGTAGTTTGATTCAACAGTTTTTTCACCAATACCCCTGAGTTTTTCATTTATTCACCATATACCCCTAAAAATTTTCAAATTTACCATATACCCCTAAATTGTTACAAAAATTTACCATATACCGCTTATGACAAGATGAGTGGAATTTGGTTAATTATGCATCAAAACCTCCTTAGATCTCTCTCCTCCATCCTCGAAACCACTCCTCTCCTTTCTTCAATTCAACCGCCGAAACCACTCCTCTCCTTTCTTCAACCTCTGAAACCACTCTAAATCTTCATAACTATATCCGTATGATTTTTTTTTAGGATGAGAAAACGAAACTTAGGGTGGTTTTTGGGGTGGAAAAAAGGAATGTGGGTGATTTCGAGGGTAGAGGAATGTATTTAGGGTGGTTTTGGGTCATAATTAACCCTAATGACTGACAAAAATAACAATGATTAATCATCAAGGGTGTATGATGTATTTTTGTGAAAAGTTGGGGGTATATGATGAATTTAAAAAAGTTTAGGGGTATATGGTGAATAAACAAAAAACTCAGGGGTATATGGTGAAAAAATATGTGATTAATTGAACATGATGAAGTATAGTATCTGTTTTTCCCTTCAACAAGTTTTTAGCTTTAGTGCGGATGCACGGGTTAATTTTTTTTGGCTAAATATATGTTTTTAATTGAAGAATTGTACTATTGTGTATTTGGATATTGTTTCTTAGATTTTTTTTTAAAATCAAACATGTGTAAATATAAATTGCATTTTAGTAAGAAAATGAAATTTTATATATATGTATGCAATATATTCTGGAAAAAAAAACTGAAAAGAAAAACAAATCTCAAAAAGAAAAAAGAAATTTGTTATTAAAGTTGAGAGATTTTACCTTTGAAAGTTCCCTAGCTAAAATTCAATACCATAATTTTTTTTGTTTGTTTTGAACACTAAATTCAATACCACTATTATTTTTTGAACTTTATTCATATAGATCTGGACAGTAATATTTTTTAAAAAATTAATTGAGATAAATTATAGATTTATGGTTAGTGGGATAGCAAATTAGGGAAGATAGAGAAAGAGTAAAAAGTGTGAGAGAAAAGACAATATTAACTTTTTGTGTAATTGAAAAATAATATAATTGGATGGACCAAGAGACAGAGATAAAGAGACATAAATGAAAATTGTTTATTTTATTTTAAGGTATTGAAAGCTTTTGGGATAGAGAAAAAGTTTTTTCTTTAATTTTTTTTTTTGTTTCAACTGAAGTGTAAAATAATATATTAATATGGAGTACAAAAATATATATAGAAAAGCTGAAAAGGACAATTGTCCTTCAAACTTCCTAAAATAGTAGTATAGTTTTGTTGCTTGTATTATTTTTGATTTGATATGATTATGTACTACTTTCTTGTGGAGTAAAATTTTCCCAACTTCAAGTGCCTAGTCCATAAGTACTGAAACAAAAAATTGTGTGGGTAAAAATCTTGTTAGGGTCTTCCTTATCAATTAAAAAAAAATTATATCATACGAAGTAGGAGTTTTCTTTTTTTTTATAATTAATGGAATTTTCCTCTTTGATTTGATGGGTTAAAAATACGTAGTATGTGGTATTTGTATTTAATTAATGAAAATTGTATCTTTTTATAAAGGAATATCTTTCCAAACCCACCGCTCATTAGAATTTTTGAGATACTACACCAATAATAACAAAACTATATTTTGTTCGTAAAAAAAAAAACTTTCTTTTTTTTCACCTCAATTTCTCTCTCCTCAATTTTTTTTTCTTTCTATAAATACAGCAACATAACCCACCGCTCCCTCATTACACCTTTCTAAAATTCACCGCCACAGAATATCTTCATTGCTAGTATTCACAATGGAAGATCCAAACCTAAATTTTCCCGAAGATTTCTTAATCGATCCAATGATCAAGAAAAGAACCGGAAAGCGGAAGATTGAAATGAAGCCTATCATCAGCAAAACAAGCAGACAAGTTACATTTACAAAGCGGCGAGGCGGGTTGTTTAAGAAGGCGAGTGAGTTATGTTCTTTATGCGGTTCCGAGGTTGCTGTTATCACTTTCTCCGGCGCTGGGAAACTCTACTCGTTCGGTCACCCGAATGCCGACGCGATTGTTAATCGCTATATTAATTATACGGCGGGAATAAATGGCGGTAATGAGAATGAGAATAATTACTTTGGTACAGGTGTAGTTTCGGAGCAGTATAAGAGGGTTTTAAGTAATATTGAGGTTGAGAAGAAAAGGACTGATCATGGTTCGTTATCGTCCAATGGGAGTAGTACACGTGGTGATAATAGCGAGTTCGGGTTTTGGTGGGATAAGCCCATTGATAATTTAGGGCTTTCGGAGCTTGAACAATTGAAGGTTTCTCTTGAGGGTTTACGTGATCAAGTTTCTTTAAGGGTTAATTCGATTAATAATAATATTATTTGTTCTTCCAATTCGAGTAGTCAATTTTCTGACTTGGTTTTGATCGAAGATAATTAATTAGGGTTTTATGTAAGATTGCTAGTAGTATTACTATTAGTTATTTAGCGGTACAATATTCTATAGTATCTCAATTTTAATCGATCAATTTAAAGTAGTACATTAGCATTATATTACTACTATAAATTTGATCAAATTTTGTAACCTCGGCTATGAGATACAATATGTTTTTGGTGATGAGTATGTTATATCTATCTAAATCATTCGATCTATGGTTGCGGTGATGTTAATTTGTCGAGTGGTCGTTTGATATGTCATTGATGCATCTTTGATTGTTGGGTATTCGATGTTTCGATTGATACTTTGATAGTGCTACAATGGTATATCAATCAGTTTAGTACTTATTCTCGCATTTTGGTTATAGATTAGCATATGTCTTTGGTTCAGCAATAACAGTAGCTTGTATTCCAATTTAATTAATGGTCTGAATTATTACAACAAATGAATAATTTGCTGAATTACTACAACAGATGAATAATTTGCTGTTTTTTGTTCTCGGACAAATTTACACCAAAAGATTAAAACAAATATTGCCTTTTTTGTTCTTTTTGGTTCTTAAATTTCTTGGAACCCTAACTAAGTCCGTTAAGTGGTAGCAAATTTTAACAAAGGTGTTTTTGTGTGGTAGTAAAATAAAAATAAATTTTAAAGGGGTTATAAAAGTGAAATACATGTGTTTTGGTGGTAGCAAAAGTGAAATATCCTTGTTTAAACTCAAATTGGTTTTTGATGTAAAAAGCATATATATATTAAGATAATTGAAATCACATTATTAATAGTACCGATGAAAAGACACAAAATTAGATTATCCTTGTCAACAAAATTAAAGCATCGTCATTAAAATAGTTTCTTAAACTAAAAGTGTATGCAACATTATTGCTTATGAACTTTGCGTTAAATTAGTGATGTCATTTATATCATTGGGGTTTCAGTAAAAGAAACAAAAGACCCTTTGCAATAATAGTTAAGGCATATATATCATCTCTTCATGGAGAAGTCAATTGAATCAGGAAGACAATTTCGCCCGTATTAGCTTGTTCTCGATTATTATAATAATATGTATAATTTGCAAAAACACATGAGGTAAGGTATAAGAAACAATCTTCCTACCATAAATCCTATAGATTTTTCTCAAAAAAAAATATCAATATAATATCACGTGTATATTCTTTGATATTTAATTCTCTAACACATTTAAACATCCTCTTTACCTTCGTTGCCATCATCACCATCATTTTCACCGTTGTTATGACCGTCAATGTTGTTGTCCTCATCATCAACACCATCATCATTAGTACGAACTCGTTTCCGCTTAGCAACGATGTTGTTTCGAGTACCAAAAGCAATAACCGGCGAAAAAGTAGTAAAAGGCTTGCAATAAACACCGATTGAAGAGAGATATTTAGAATCACTGGTGCCATGAAATCCAGCAAATTGATTACGTAGCCCAATATATATGTTTCTCTCCCAGTAAGGTGCACGATAAAGTGTGCCAAACGGTCCGTAAGTGGCTTTGTTTGTATGAATTGATAATCTATTCACGTAAGAGAAGCTGCATTCTACGGTAAGTCCAATTATCTTCTCTAATGGAAAATCGAGTTGCACCTAAACTTTCCAAAAAAAAAAAAAAAAATTAAAAAGTATAAGAACAAGTGAAAGGCAACTAACTATGTCGTGCAATAGGGGAAAAAAAAAGGGTATAGTGTTCCTTCAAATTAAGGTTTTCATGTATGTCTAACTAATTTAATAAAGTACGCTAGATGCAAAATAGAAATTAAAATAATATCATACAAAAGGAAAAATTGTAAATAATAATCCCAACTTTGCTCCATTTTCTTTTAATAAACCTAATTTTGGATTATGCTAGAATAATCCCAATTTTGGGGGTGCTGTTTACTTTCTTCAATCCTAAATCGGTCAACAAAAGTCAATGACCTGCTATCATAAGTTACGTGACACGTGTCACATTGTGATTGGTCCAAAAAAGAAAAAAAAAATGAAGCCCCTACCTAGCCCCTCCACCACCGCCCACCAGAATCCCAAACCCCAGCCGCCCCAATCCCCCTTACCCCACCGGAAAACCTACCCCAATCCCTTTACCCCACTGGTGAACCCACCCTAACCCTCCCCCCGACCAGCCGCCACCTCCTCCCTTCCCGTAAACCCCCTCTCTCTCCTTGAAACAACCACTAAAAACCTCCCTTTCCTAGTGGTTGTTTCGAGGAGAGAGAAGGGGTTTACAGGGATGAGGGTGGTGGTTCATTCAAGGGAAAGGAGGGGGATCGAAGGGGCGACGGGACGGGAGGAGGGGGTGGCTGGCTGGCGGGAGGATTTGGGTGGATTTCCGGTAGGGTAAAGGGGGATTGGGGTGGGGGTGGGGGTGGCTGGGTTTGGATTCCGATGGGTAGTAGGGCTGGGTGGTCAGGGAAGTAGTGGGGGCTGGGCTTTCTGATTATTTTGAATTTTTTTTTGTTTATTTTTTTAATATTTTTGGCTAATTAGATCTCAACACGTGGCATTTATAAAGAAAAAAAAAAAGAAATAACCTTTTTAACCGGTAAAAGGGATTGAAGAATAACTTTTTTAACCTCCAAATTGAGATTATTTCAGAATAATCCAAAGTTGAGATTATTAAAAGAAAATGGGGCAAAGTTGGGATTATTATTTATAATTTTTCCTAAAAAAATCAACTATGAATCTATGATGCAAGTAAATAAGACTTTCTATATCATATACTCCGCATATCACTAATAAATAAAGCTGAATCTTGCAACCAGGCTACGAGACAACGACATTTGACATTTCAGTTTTTCACCAAGTGTTGTGTAACGCAAACAACAAATAGTATTATCGTGTCACATATGATTTTAAGTAAGCAAATTTTAGATAAATTTTGTATGATAAAAATATTGTATAAAGTTTTATTATCGATATATTTATAATATTTCATATATATACAAAATTAATCAAAACTCTTAATAAATATCATATAACTTGGTTTTATTTCCATAATAACATTTATTTTAATAAAAAAGTTCTTTAAATAAAATAAGATCTGTTGATTCTTGCCGGATATTTCCGTTTTACAATTATAAATTGTAAATGTTAAGGATTTTTTTTAGACAGAATGAAAGTAGTATAAGGTCGATCTAAGTTTTATAATTTTGCCCAAAATGTTTGAACATGAAAAAGGAATGATTAAAATCACAAATAAGTTAATACGAGTAATTAAAAAAGAGAAAGAGATCCAAAAAGAACCGTTTGAAATGAAGATCCATCAAAAGAAGAGCTGCCATATAATGGTGAAAGGACTAAGGCTCCATTTTCAACATATTGAAAGCAGATGGAGTGTACATACATGCTTCCATAAGATATGAAGATTTGAACAATATCAGAATGACCTCTTAAATTCCATTCTGACCCTGTTATCTTGCCCCTTGGCGGTCCAATTTTGAATATATTTTCTACAAACATGAAAACAATCGTGAGATTTATTGTTAGATTGCCAATAAATCATATACTTCCTTCGTTTCTCTTTTATAGTATATTGCATTGACCTTTTTCGGGGTATAAAACAAAAATAAAAAAAATAGTACAAGGTAAAAAAATATAAGGTATGAAAGATAAATAAAACGTTTGTATTACGTATAAATGATACCGTCTGCATTTTATTTTATTTGTTGCATTTGAATTTTATTGTCTGCAATGCTTATCTTTGACAACAAATATTTTCAATTAAGTATATGTAATATTTTAAACAATTAATATTTTACAAGTGTTTTTTTTTTTTTTCTTAAAAAAAAAGGAAAAGATGAATCTTGTCTATTATTTGTATTTATATTAGTGTATTTTTACAATCAAAGTTTTTACAAGTTGATCACAAAAGTCAAATGTGAAATAAAAGAAATCGAGAGATTAACAAATTAAAACCAGCATTAGTTTGATATTTGTGAAACATACATCTTTGAATCTATCATAATCGAAGAAAAGTGATTGTAATGCAACTAACGGAATTAAAATCAAATTATTCAACAAGTTTACATACCTTCGACTACACAATTGTTATGATTAGACGACATACTAAACTATGAGCTTGGATTAATAAAAGATTGATCAATGACTTAATGAAGCTAATTATAATGAGAATATCATTAACAAATTATAGTAGATATTGGATCTTCATTTGATGGTTGGTTTTTGAAATCTATATATTGGAGATTTGTAGAGTTTTAGAATGGATTAATAAAAGATTGATCAATGACTTAATGAAGCTAATTATAATGAGAATATCATTAACAAATTATAGTAGATATTGGATCTTCATTTGATGGTTGGTTTTTGAAATCTATATATTGGAGATTTGTAGAGTTTTAGAAGAATTGGTTGACTTTGGTTGTTTATTTGAAGCATGGTTGACTTTAGTTTTAGAATATTACTGTTTACGAAGCTTCTCATGGCTTCGGCCTTCGGGATTCCATCAGTTCATGTCACGCACGTCGTGGCTGAGTAAAACTATATAAAAATTTGAAAATCCAATCCGTATTCGATCCGAAAATTATGAATATTCGATCCGAAATTTAATATGATAATCAAAACTCAAATCTCATTTTTATTAATTCTTAATCACGTATTTATAAGCTAAATAATTAGCCTAATACCGTGTAGAACAAAATCTAATCTAACTAGCTAGGAAACTTATCCTAATTTGTAAGGAAATTTTTTTGCAAATATAATCTTTAAAGTTAAGCTATATTCTACTAACCGAATTAAACTAACAAAAATATCCTAATAAATTCGGTCACCTAATAATAAAATTAAAAATAAGATAAAAATAATTAAATTAAGAATATTGATGCCTTGGAACCACATCAAACCCCTAACTCAATAACTCGGGTAACCCCTAACAAAAAAACTCGTGTAACCCCCTGTCGCATGGTGTGGCTTGCTGCACCAAAAAGTTGCTGCTCAACTTATTGGTGCAAATGGACCAACGGCTATTGATAATAAAAGTGCAAAAACTAGATAATTTTAAGACCTGGCAATATAAG